CAGCACAGCGAATGTGTAACGCAGGCCATCACACAAGATCATCAGCCTAGAGCTAAAACTCCCTGAAAGGGCTCATGCTTTATCTTAAAAAATGCATGCACATTTTGTAGTTTATATCCTAATATATCAATGCCCAGTTAATATTAAAACAACATTTTAAACTATTTATCACCTGTCTGTCAGTTTGTCATACTGTAGTGGCTTGTGTGTTGCTGTGGTGCTGGAAGCTATGCCACCTGTATTTCAAATACCAGCAGGATCACTCATGGTGGACAGGTTTCGGTGGAGCTTCCAGACTAAGACAGATTAGGAAGGAAGACCTGCTGATCTACTTCAATGGAAATTAGCCAATAAACATTGTATGGATCACAACAGAATATTGTCTGATATGGTGCTGGAAGATGAGATACTAGGCTGGAAGGCACTCAGATACCCAGTGGCCACAATAATGGACTCAAACATACCAACGATCGTGAAGGTGGTACACGACCAGCAGCATTTTGTACTGTTGTATATGGGCTCACCGTAAGTCACAGCTAACTCTATGACAACTAACAATACCACCACCAGGAGAAAATGGGGTGATCAAGTAGACAAAAATCTTATAAACAAGTGTTCACTATCTCTCCTTCGGCCTCTGTAGCTGCTAGCACACTACCTCTCCCTGTCAGGCACATGTGTACACCAGTTTGAGAAGTACAGATTTCGAAAATACTCAACAGGTTCATCCCCTTTGACTTCTCTGTGTTGGAATCTTCTGGACTTGCAGTAGTTGAGGGCATCCTTGCCCCTACTCTCTGCAGAGAGTTTTCCCTTCCTTCTCACCCACTGCCCCGCACTCTGTTCCCACCCAGCCCCCAGAAAGCCAAAGCATTGTGCTCAGTGAAGGAGAAACAGTCAGTCAGAATTGGTCAGGAAGACAACTGCAAAGGTCTTACCGCCAGAAGAATTTTCCTATTGGACTTCATGATGCCTACAATGCCCAGAACGGACAGGCAGAAGAGGCAGATGCCCACAAACATGCCGATCCAGGCAGCCCCATAGATGTCATCGCTGTCAGTGGCTTCAAGCAGCGGGTAGAGGCTGTGTTGGTCAGATACAAAGAAGATGCACTCTGCTGTCAGGGCGATGCCGCACATCTGGGGGCAGAGTGGGTCTGTCAGTCTGGCTTCGTGGATCTCGGGATTGGGAAAGGGGGTGGGGAGACACAGTGGGCAAGAGAAACTAACTCCCTCTCCTGTATGGGCCTTAAGCAACTGGCCAACCCCTTATTGCCAGGTATCAAAAAGCTACTTCCATCCTACTAATTGGATACCTCCTTCCTTGTGTCATGCTGCCTTACTCTTATTTGGGGAAAGATCCAGAAAGATCCTTGGGACATGAACCATTCAAGCCACTATTTTGTCTGCAGGTAATTCCCCTACCCTGTCCCTACTGCCCCATTGCCCAAATTCCTGGATGGTAACATGTGAACTGGTTCTGGTCATCCTTATCAGTGCCAGAGAACCACTGAATGTTTGAGCTCGAAGGAAACTTCATAGTTATTTTTTCCACCCTCTGTATTTTATAGGTGAGAAATCTCGGCCCTGTCCAGAGTCACACAGAGAGTCGGAGGCAGAGTTGGGCCAAGAACCAGATCTCCCGGCTCTTCAGCAAGTGTTCCCCCCACCCCACCAGGCTGTCACCCGTTGGCCTCGGAGCCACTCCCACTTTCTGGAGCTCCCCTCTGTATAATGAGGCCAAGAAGATGCAAACCTCTGCCCCCTGCAACCTTAACAACAGAGTCCCATGGAAATCAAACTCAGGTGAAATGGGAAAGAAACACCAAAGTGTGCATGTTTGGACACCAACCGTGGTGAACCATGGCTTCCTTTAGGTTCTTGCATTTTGAAGTTGGCAGGGAAGTATCTGTTTTTTTCCAGCCATGATCTTTTGATATATTATAGAGTTATATATAATTATTTATATAGTTAAATTCTAACTAGCATATTTGATTAGTGTGTTTCTTAAAGTGGAGAAAAGATGCAGGGAACCAGTAATTATATCATTATTTTCCTTTAAACTCCCACTTTGGATTAATCTAAAGTCTTAATTACAGGAAAAGTGGAAGCTATTGAAAAATACTCATTACTTACACCAATGATCACGTTTCCAAAAATAAGCACGCCCTGGAAGCAACGAACAGTGGAGTTGTCTTTGGCCATCTTTAGGATTTCTCACAAGCTGAAGACACAGTGGAGAACACGACAATTTAATAAGAGTAGGTGACCACTACTGCTACAGTTTCCATAACTGACTAAATAATGCCACTGTGTAGTGCCTGCTTGTGTTCCAAAGCATCTAAACCAAAGTTATGCAATTATTCAGCAATGAAGGAAAACTGGCTACTAAGCTCGGTCAAAATAAAGCCTGCTAGAGTCCGTCTGGTGCCTTTCAGGAATTCTTTAAGGCATGAATGAATAGACTATATACCTCTGAGTGATGAGCTGAGGCCCCACAAGGTCGACAACTGTTATGCAAGGGCATGAAAAACAGGCTTGAGGTAGTGATGACTGGGCAGGGCTGATGCACAGTGGAGCTGTGAACTATGTCAAGGGTCCATTTTCACAATTAAGTTACCAGGGCTTTCTTATGAGGTGCCTCTGGGTGGACTTGAACCTCCAATCTTTCTGATAGCAGCCGAGCATGTCAACCATTTGCACCACCCAGGGACTCCTTCCAAAAAATAGTTGGCAAATAAAAAAGTGCCCTGTCACATAAGAGGAGGAGAGGAGAGAAAAGAGGGGCTAAATTTAGCTCCCTGTATGTCCCACTCTGATACATACACATTTAATTCTGGTAATAACCCAATTAGGTAGACAAAGAAATGAGGAGGCTTCATTTTGCAGATGAAACTAGAGCTTAGATTGCTAAAAGAAGTTGCCCAGGGCCAAACCACCAGTCTGTGGCACAGCTGGGCCGGGAACCTTGGTCTGTGTGACTCCAGAGCCCAAGCACTTTCTCCCAAAAAGTGGCTCCCAGAAATTATTTACAAGGCTCAGTGCCAGGCACAGCAGAATGTGGGCCTCTTGCCTCCCGGAGGATTCTGTGGAAGGAACATGAGAGTAAGTGTTTTGGTCAATCTCTTTGGCTTCTGCACTTGAAACACCTTGAGAAAAGCCACCACATTTCTCATTCATTCATTCATTCATGCATTCAAATGTAATCAAAGGTATTCAATGATACAGCTTTTGTCTCATGGAATACAAAGATATTTAAGGGGAATTGTTATATTCTAGGATTTTATACTTTAGTAGGAAAGCTATGTTCCCAGATAGTTATAATTCATGTAGTAAGATCCAAGTACGGTGGGAGTTGTGAGGAGGGAAGAAGTAAGACTTGTAGGATGTGTATGGGTTTTTTTTTTTTTTTTTTCTTACATTTTAAAGCATTTTTTTAACATTGGATTTTTTTATTGTGGTAAATATGTAGATAACAAAACATTTGCCATTTCTGCAATCTTCACACGTACAGTTCATTGACATTAATTACGTTCATCATGTTGTTCAACCGTCACCATTAACCGTTCCCAAATTTTTCTATCACCCTTAACAGAAGCTCAGCGTCCCCTAAGCACTGTCTTCCTTTCCCCTCTCTCCCTCCCATCTTTCGTAACCACTAATAAACTTTCGTCTCTGTACACTTGCTTGTTCTAGATATTTCATGTAAGTGGGCTCATATAATGTCTGTCCTTTGTGGCTGACTGATTTCACTCCGCGTAACGTTTTCAAGGTTGGATGCGCATGGTTTCGACAAGTAGAGCAGAGGTAGGTGTGTATGGGAGGAAGCTGAGGTGGGTGACGTCCCCAGGAAAGGGAAAGGGAAAGTCAAGAAGCAGAAACAGAAAAGAGCAAGGTGCCCAGGAGACAGCAGATCAGCCAGTTTGGCTGAAGTCCCAGTTTGGGTAAGGCATCAGTGGGAGACAAGCCTTCTACTTGACTCGGGTGGGACTCGTTAAATTTTAACCTCATTGTTACACTCTAAGGTAAGTATTAAGAACCTTCCAGGGAGGCTCCTGTCCAGAGCCAGGATGAGAAGGCAGAAAGGGACAGGAGCTGGCTGGATGGACATGGGAAACCCAGGATGGAAAGGGGATGTGTGTTGTCACATTACAGGGACTGCAACTAGTGACACATAAGAATATGTGTATAAATTTTTGTATGAGAAATTAACGTGAGCTATAAACTTTCACCCAAGGCACAATAAAAAAAGTAAAAAAAAAAAAAGAAAATAACTTTTACAGGTTTTTAATAGGTTTTATTTTTGTTAAAAAGAGGCGATTTGAGAGTGTATACGTTCTAAGGTCCAACCAACTCCAAAAATTCAATTACCTAAGAGTACTGTCTTCTTCTTTTTTTTTTTTAGTGTCCTTTAGATGAAGGTTTACAGAACAAACTAGCTTCTCATTAAAGAGTTAGTACACATGTTGTCTTATGACATTGGATGACAATCCCACAACATGTCAATTTTCTCCCTTCTCGACCTTGGGGTCCCTATTACTAGCTTTCCTGCCCCTTCCTGCCTTCTAGTCCTTGCCCCTGGGTTGGTGTGCCCCTTTAGTCTTGTTTTGGTTTATGGGCCTGTCTAATCTTTGGATGAAGGGTGAAGCTCAGGAGTGACTTCATTACTGAGCTAAAAGGGTGGCCGGGGGCCATACTCTCGGGATTTCTCCAGTCTCTGTCAGGCCAGTAAGTCTAGTCTTTTTTCATGAGTTAGCATTTTGTTCTACGTTTTTCTCCAGCTCTGTCTGGGACCCTCTATTGTGGTCCCTGTCAGAGCAGTCAGTGGTGGTAGCCAGGCACCATCAGTTTGTACTGGACTCAGTCTGGTGGAAGCCGTGGTAGTCGTGCTCCATTAGCCCTTTGGACTAATCTTTCCCTTGTATCTTTAGTTTTCTTCATTCTCCCTTGCTCCCGAAGGGGTGAGACCAGTGGAGTATCTTAGATG